GCACTCAGATATAAGAAAGATGAATAGGACGCCTAAATTAAAGAAAAATGACAAAGAGATATGAACCGACATCTGATCACTCTGGGAATTTGCATAAATTTTCCATCCCAATCTTGAGTAGCCAGTGCAAAGTTTCAGTTCCGATGTTAGCAGTAGCAGTCTGATTGTATGTCCGTTTTGCCTTTTTTCTTGAGTGCTGGGGTGTCGACCAGATCCCCTGGTCATTCCCCATGCTTCCACTCTGATCAGTCTCCCAAAGGGCCTTGACCACACCCAGCTTGTTATGCATCAGTTTATCACAAGGGGTGCAGAATGAGCCAGCTTGACTGCCTGTTTGTTTCCTTACACACCTACATAACCTGGAGAAGATGTACACTTGAGAGAGTTAGCTAAACATGACAAGCACTCCAGAGAAGAAAGTAAATGGGACATACACTTCAGGAGAAACATTTAATATCAATACAGCCAAAGGGAGAAATGAGCATACACTCCATGTCAGAATGCCAGTAAAGATGGCGGGTAGTTTTGAAATAAATCTTAGTTGCAATTAGTCCCACCTGGCAGTAGTTTTTTACAATTGTCTTTAACCATGTTTAGCATAAATACTGCTAAAGCAAAGTGCTCCCAAACAATCCACCCATAAATTGTAGCAGTATCGCAACTCCGAAAAAAAAACACTTCTGCATGAAGCATTAAAAAACCATTGCATCATTTTAGATTGAAAATGATGAAATAACCAACCAGAGACCATGCGGTAATGAACAATTTTTCTGTGTAACAAAGAACGACAAGGTTTGCAAACAGTAAAAAGAGAAACAGCTTGACTGCATTTAGAGTTGAATAGATAGAGTTTACTCTTGACTCACATGAACTAGCAGAGCCGTTTACCTGGGTAGTGATTTATCAGATAACAGATTTTCCCAGTTGTTTAGTTGAGCAGACGCCAAGCCATGCTTGGCATTCAGTCTGGTAAACTGATCATATTCGTAGAACAGGCAGCGGTGCATCTTTTACAAATGATTGCGTGAGCTAGCTGTCATGTTTCTTTAGTGATGCTGCGTTGTAATATAAACCTGAATGGAATAAGCCACATCTGGAATAAATCTTCCTTAGTGTCTTTGAGGCATGAACTTGAAATCACTCATATGTATGTGTGTTCTGTTTCTGGGTATGTTTTTTCCATGACTGCCTCATTCGGTTCATGAGTGCATGCTTTTCCTGGAGGTTGTTGGTGGTGCTGCAGGGCTCATGTTTTGTGCAATGCTCTTGAAAGGCAGTCATCTACTCTTTGAAATAAATTGAGCTATTTGGGAAAAAACCTGGTGTAGTGCAGTTTATATTGTCATCTTCTTCTCTTCTTAGATATTGGGCTGGTTACGTTTGCTTCCTATGCCATTTGCTGGTACCCATATTATGCTAAGTTAACCTGAGTCACAATTTTTAAAATTGGCTAGATAAAGATTTGATGTAGCCACTATCTTACCCTGTCTCTCAAGCATTTCCATCCATGCTTTTGTGTTTTTTCCCTTGATATTCATCTTATGCATATTTTTATATAAATATAACACACTATATTAAATACAGTTTGCTGTGTGAAAGATGAGTGTTTGGATAGGCCAAATGTAAGACGGGTCTGCGTGCCCTATTTGTGACCCTTTAAAAATAAAGTTTTTTCAGTTTTGTTTCTTTCTTCTTGAATTCCCATCTCACTGCATTTCCCACCCCGCTAGCATTCTCTCGTCTTTTTGCATTCCCTTTCTTGCATTCCCCCCCCCCCCCCCCCCCCCCCCGTGTCCCTGCATCTGTTTGCACTCCCCTATTTCACTGCATTCCCATCTCTGTGCATTCCCCTGCATCTCCCTGCACTCCCCTATTTTCTGGGAATCCCCATCTCCATGCATTTCCCTGCATTCTCTTGTCTGTCTGCATTCCCAAGTTTCCCTGCATTCCTCTCTCCCTACATTCCTCTCTCCCTGAACTCCCCTGTGTTCCATCACATTCCCCTGGCTCTACATTCCCCTGTCTCTGAATTCCCCTGTCTCCCCACATTTCCTTACCTTTCTGCATTCCTCCATCTCTCTGCATTCCTATCTCCCTGCACTCCCCTGTCCACCTGCATTCCCTCATCTCCCTGCATTCCTTGTGAGCCTCTGTAAACAGGGGAGTCAGTTGGCTTGTTGCTTAATTGTAACACCTTCATGCAGATACAACTCTACATGCAGGGTTAATGATTGTACAGGGCCTGAAGGTGTCAACTGACTGGTAATGAGAAAAGCAAACTAAATCAACATGTTTTTGTAGTGCACTGTGGGTCTCCCAGTGGTGCTGCATGAGAAGGTTTAGGAGAGATGGGTATATTTAAAGACCGTCCTGTGCCAGAAATAAATTGGTTTATTTTGCCTTCGTTATGAAAGAGATGTTGGTTTGGTTTTTTTCTTCTTTTTACTCTTTTCTTTCTTCACCTGCCTCTTCTTGAAAAAAGGATAGATGGAATGAAGGAATGAAGAAAGAAAAATATGTGATCTGTATGTCTTTACCCACTCTCTTTCTTTTCCTCCTCCTTCTCCTCCCCCACCTTTCCCCTCTTCTTCATCTTTATTGTTTATCCTCAAAACTTAGTAGTTTTTCTACATCAAAGAAACTCTTCAACCGTATCATGTATCTGTGGTGGTCAAGGCAACCAGAAGACAAGAAGCAGAACCCTGTATCTTCCTGGCCACCTGAAGCTGTTAGATAGGAAGTGAAGAAGAATAAGAAGATATACAGTAAAAAAAAAAGGTGATCGGTTGGGTGGTTCTGTTGGGATCACTGGCATTCATGTCCTGTGTTCAGAGCCTCCTTGTGGGATCAAAGTATACTTTCCTGTCTTTTTCTTTGTCACAGTATCTTTACCAATCTTTTGTCTTCTTCTTCTTCTTCTTCTTCTTCTTCTGCTACTCCTCCTTCTTCTTCTTCTTAATTTGCCTGTGTTATTGTTTACAGCTATGCTATGATATCTGCAACACTGGGGCAAACACAACCTGTTTAAAAAAAAAAACACTTGGGAGTTCCAGGGGTTTAGCATCGGAGACCCACGGGGTGGTAATGCAGTTTTAAATTTCACAAGTTTGCCACAATAATACAGATCATACTAATTCAGCGGCCATACAACACAAATAATACATCAGAGTTACCAAGGGTTGTTGAGGAATAATATTAGTATACTGCTACACCAAATACTGCTAGACAAATAATTGTAGTAGTAGTTAAATATTAGTAAATAAACAGATGGCATGTTCAGAGAAATTAGTAAAATGAAAAAAAAAAAATTTCCACTTTCCACAATGGCACTTAATGAAAACTCAGTAAAATAGATCCAGAATGAATCACAAATGAGCATGAACCACATTATAATGTATAAGTAAAATATAAACTCAGTCTTATATTACATCTAATTCGAGAGAACATGTGAAGCATCATAACAGAACACCATTATTTGATAAAAGAATTGACTTCCCAAAACAGTTAACATCTTCACACAAAACAAAGTTTATATAACACTCAGTTTGCCTGTAATTGTGTAGCTATGTTTCTAAATAAAAGACATATTAGAGCTGTCCCTCATCAGTTTGACTCTATAAAGGATTAAAACAAGTCTGCTTCTCAACTTTATCCATCTAACTTCGGATAAATCTGATAAAGACACATTTTATTTTAATTTAAGGCTTCTAAAGCTATAGGTCATGCAGGTATGCATGTAGAATGCCGCTCGACGTCTTGCTGTTTTAGAATAGTAAACCTTGCAAGCATGCTATATTTTAGGCTTTTAACCACCTTTCCAAATAAAACTGATGGTCAGCACCTGTGATATCGCAAATGAAGAACTCGAGAGAAAGTATCAACTGTGCATTTTAAGTTTTGTTATACTGGTCAGTGTTAAATTAAAAACATGTGTTCGTCACACGCTGTTTTGTGTTCTTTAGAACTCAGAGAGTTGATTAGTCACTGTTTACACCATGCTTGTTAAGGGACAGTGAAGCTGTTTTCATCTCCTAAAATGTAGTTCTGAAACCCACAAGGGGAAAGCTTTTTATTTTAAGCAAAGTTAATGATAGTAAAGTGAAAGTAAAGATCCCATTTAATGCCTTTTAGGTGCATCAGGCATATGAGAAGAGCACCCATATTTTTACAGACCAATCAGCACTAGGTGGGTAATGTGGTGAGTATTTCACTGGCCGTCTCTACATCTCCAGGACATACCTCCTCGTATCCATTTAAGACTGGGTCGACCTGCGACGCCCCATACCACGATAAAAGTCCACGCAGCCAGCAGCGAGTTTCAATCGCGGTATGTTAGAATTGTGAGTTGGACTCACAGCGCCTAAGCCGGGGATGCGTCTAAGCGTAATGATCATTCTTTATATGCTTTAATGAATCATAACCTTGTTACATCCTAATAAGTCTTTCTGTATGTGACCTCCCAGTATCTGTCTATTATAAATACTAGCTTCTAAAGTTGGAGAGAAAAAGGAGAGCTCTGCAACACCAACACCATGGAAATGTTACTTAAAAAACAGACTCTGCGCAAAGCCTTTACATCTGCCAACAATTGCAGGTTCTTGTCACGATTGAAATATCTCAAAGTGTTAATAATGTATTGTACTTCAGGATCACAGACTTCTAGAAGGCAGTCTTTGTGCCTGTTTACTTCTCTTTTTCTATTAAAACTATGTAAAAAAAAATGTGTTTATTTCTCTGCGTGATTGTTTTTGTCCTTACTGTTGACTTAGACTACCTCTTTCTCGGTCTCTATCTCTCTCACTGACTCTATCTCTCTCTCTCTCATGCTTTCTATTTTCTGCACTTTTCTTTGTGTATCTGTCTCAGTATTTTTGTTACTTCTCTCACCCCCCCATCTCTCTCTCTCTCCCTCTCTCTCTCTCTCTCTCTCTCTCTCTCTCTGTCACACACATATTCATGTTGTGTGCACCATCATTGGATTTTCTGTAATTCTTTCCCAGTTACTTGATGATGTGATTGTCGATCATTCTATGGAAAGAAACGAGAAGGCACGAAAGAAATCACTTCAAGAGGCTAAACTAATCTGGCAAAATGAATATCCCGATGACCCTTTTGAGGTCGAGCTTAATCCAGAAGCTGTTATCCCAAAATACAGAGATGGCAGGACTGATTTCTCCTATGACATAGTTTCAGCAGCCGGTAGACAAAAGGAGTTTGGTTATCAGGTAGAAATAAAACCTTCCTTTTTCTTTCTTCTTTTTCTTCATTTCTTACTGTCCTTCTTCATTGACATTTGTTTTTTCATTGTCTTTCCTTCCTTTTTCTCTGTCCCTATTTCCTGTTTCTTTCTTCATTACTTCCCTTCTTCTTTGATTTTTAACTCCTGTTTCATTGTCTTTCCTTACTTTTTTTTTCTTTCCTTATTTCTTTATGTGTCTGATACCCATCTTTCATAGTATCATGAGTCCATTAATTTAGTTTATCTGGTCATCTACAAATGATAAAACATACATCAGGGAAAAAGGCCGAAAGCTAGCAGGTTGTTTCCATAAACTTATCATAGACATCAAATCCCAAGCAGTTGTTATTTCAGCCCCTTTCATGGAGTTGAGCCTCTTACAAAGTTAAAAAAAATAAAGGACCCTCTTTCACGCCTTTAAGTCAATTGGCATATAGGGCTAGACCTATATTTTATAGACTAATCAGTAGAACCTTTTAGTAGTTAATATTTAGGACTTAAGGAGTTTAACAGAGTCTTTATGGAACAGAAATAGTAATTATATAATCACAGTAAATTTTACACATTAAAATATCAGATGCAAAGGGTTAGTATAAAATCTGTCTGTGATAAAAGACAGCAAGAACATTGTGTCTTTTGGATGACTAAGAAACTTATGATGAGGTTTATGATGCCCAGTTTACAACAGAAACTGCCTAGGTAAAGTAGATATGGCGTTTCTTGCACAAAATCTTACTCTGACTACCATAGAAATATTTTTTTTATTATCTTGAAGAAGTAACTCATTCACAGATGGTCATCCTCCATCCAGCAGGAATCAGTGTGTGCAACATTCCATTGTCTGATATCTATCGCAGCTTTCCCACTTTAAAGCATTGCATGTGTAACATTCTGAAAGAGGCGGAAGCCCAAAGACAACTTATCACATACATCAGAAGGAGACAGTCATTTTTTTTCCGGCCATGTTATGAGAAGAAGGAAAATGGAACATGTGGTGACCACTGGAAAGATCTGGGAAAGGAGGGATAGAGGGAGACAAAGAGATACGATTCTTGGCAGTCTTGTTGCCTGGCATCGAGGTGTGTCAGCACACAAACTGATACATGCTGCAGTAGATTGTGGAGAAGCATGATTGCCCACACCAGTCTGCAAGGAACCTGATGATAATGATATGTAACATTAATCTAATTTATTTTTTAATGACTCCTATTATTCTTTGCCTTTTCAAGGAACCTGATGATAATGATATGTAACATTAATCTAATTTATTTTTTAATGACTCCTATTATTCTTTGCCTTTTCATGCAAACATTTTGTACTTTGTTTAACTGGTTTTTTGTCTTCTTCTTATCTGCCATTCTTGACAGCAACATGTGCTTATCTCTAGATTTTTTTCTTCATCCCCTGGCTTACAAGGCAGACATGGAGAAACTCTACGGAAAAATCTTCAACCATGATGACAGTGTGAATTTATCTGACAATTGTTAGCCAGCATCTGTGATTTAGTGGTTATGAGCCAAGTTTCATATTCCGGCACACCAGGTTTTATTCAGCCACAGGTAATTTGGCAAGAGACTGCAGTGCATTGGTTTTAATAATGGTCTCTGGCTTAGGCGTTGCGAATGCACTTCATAATTCCATGGTTCTGGGTTTGATCTCAGCTGCAGGTGATTTGGTGGTAGATTGTCTTGTGTTGGTTTGAATGGTGGTATTGAGAGCTGACTGCTCAGAGAATTAGCAAACTACTTAATGAAAAATTACCTAGTGAAATCACATACAGCCAAAATGTGCAGGGACTGGTTCTGCGTACAGTACATGGAATTAACTTGATGGGCGTCAGATTGTTCAGACAGAAATGTCAAACTGCTGAGTGTGAAATTACCTAGTTAAAAACTAAAACCGCCAACAAATCCTGAAACTGGTTTGTGATTTCATCTAAAGGACATGCAAATAGTATTATATAAATGTCATAAAATCTTCATCAGGGCAGACTATTAAAGATATATGTTTTCTTCTTGTGTCCTCTCCCTGATACCAGGTTGTAGCCTTGTGGTTTTCTGTGTATGTTTTGCACTTCTGGGGTGGGTTGGGTGGTGGATATTTTTTTTTTCTGTTGTTGTAAGTTTCAGCTACACTAAATATCCATCTCTGTCTTGGTCTTTCCTTCTAAATGTTCTGCTGTAAAAGATCTTATATGCAGTTTGATCCTACTAGATGGTGAACCATTTCATTATTTGTCTGTAAGTATAATTCAGACACAGTCTTATTTTAGCTTACTCTGTAATGCTCGCATTGTAACCCTGTCCCTTCTTATGTTGTCAGTGACCTTACAGATGCAGGTCAATTCACAGGTAGTTAGTTATCTTCTGTTCTAGTGCTCTACTCATAGCATAAATGGGGATGTTTATGCCTATTTATGTTTACGTTTATTGATTACTCCTTCTATACATCTTTATATATTTCAAATCAAAAATTTTACAAATGTACATAAATAAATGTGTAAACAATTTATTGGGCACCTGTGTAGAATAGTTTGTTTTTTAAAGGATTTTTTTTCTTCAAAAATTCCCAAAGCTCATGACCTTTTTAAGCATTGTGAGGTGAAAGTTCGACTCAGCCCAAGTTAGATAGTTAGGATATATATATATATTTTTTTTTAAAGGCATCCGTCAATCCCAGGGGACTATGAAGATGTGCCGCTGGCTTCAGGAACAGCATCTGCTGTAAGTTGGGGATGGAGGTGCTAGTAATCATTGCTGGTTGGTGGAAGGGAGATTTTTACTTTTCTCAGGATATATATCCAAGAAAGTAAAGGTGGACAGCATGAAGTTGATCACAGCGCATCTAAAGAAATATGGGTCTAGCTCAGTATCTTCCAGTTTAGAGATCAGAAGATCTAAAAGTTTCACTTGAAAGAAAGTTAATGAATTGTGTCTCTGTTTACCAGGCCTGGAGGGAAGTGTTCAATGAAAACTTTGCCAACTATGGAGCCATGTACAGGGGAGAGAACCCTGCAGGGAAGCTGTTTAAACTGAAGAGTGACGGAATCCTTGGCATGAGAACAAAATCGGCTCACCTCGTCTTTGACAGAGTGGAGCTGAAGGCTGCGCCCAACGTCTCAGGAAAATCCAAGCTGCAGATCTGCACTGCTACAAACTCCAAACAGGTACAGGGAAATGTTGGATTGCTTTTGCAGGGAGGTGTTTTGTCTTGCAGTGAGTTGTTTTGTCTTGCAGTGAGTTGTTTTGTCTTGGGGGAGATATTGTTTTTTCATGCAGGGAGATATTGTTTTTTCTTGCAGGGAGATATTGTTTTGTGTTGTTCTTAGTCTTACAGAGAGATGTTGTTTTGTCATGATTGGCACTTATGTAAGTAGATAATGCCTGATCAGTTACTGCCATTTAATTTCTCTTGCTAAATCATTCTGAAAAGAATTACCAACCAATTACAATTTTTGTTTTGTCTTTATATTATATAGTTTTTACTTTATCAAAATGAGGGCACTGCAGTGAAGCTATGAAAGAATTTTAAAAGTTTGGTTGGGAAAACTAAGTATATGTCACTTTTACAGGACCAGTTCTAAAAGACAAACAAAGGACTGTGGCGATTAGCCTTCATTATTAGAATGACAAAAAAAAAAAAAAAAAACATAAAACATGACCACGTTACAGTATTCAGTAGTGTTCAGTATACATTCAGCATATGGTCTCTACAGTACTGCTCAGGCTTTGTGCTTTGGAGAGGAAGAACTTCATCCCTGGCCTTAACCCTTTGACCTGAAAATGCTAAAAATATATGGGCCATGAGTCCGTTTAATTTGGGGGGGGGGGGGGGGGGGGGCTCCTTTTAAAACAACTATTTTACACAGGTACCTAATAAATTGTTTTAAAATGTATTTATCTATGTACATTTGCCTCGAAATACCACTCAACTGCCAACCTTGATTCCAACATCTCCACCCCTAAAGCAGGTGCCTAGAGCAAATGGTATTTAGCTGCGCTTTTCGAGAACAGTTCACTGGAAATGGCCATATATCTGCATTTATGTGGCTGTGTCACAGCCGGAAATGACTAGATTTAGCCTTTTTGGGGTTAATTGATTTTATGTGCTGTTCTTTCCATATCTCCATGTAGCACATTGTAACACTATCGTCTGGGAAGTCAGAAAGGCATCAACAATATCATCATCATCATGTGTCCTGCCGACTGGCGTAGGCGCTCATGCGTCTCCACAGATCACGATCCCTGGTTGCCTGGAACAGCTTTCTGGATGATGTCCCTCCATGCCATCGTTTTAGCCCATCCAGCTTTATCTCTCTTGGTCTGCCTCTACCCCTTTTTCCACTGAACTTTCCAGTTGTCACGATGTTCTCCAATGTCTCTCTTCTCATTATGTGGCCAAAGAACAGTGTTTGTCTCTTTCTTATTTTTGTATATAGAGATCTACTTTCATTAGCCTCTTTCAAGCAATCGTTGTTAGTTACTCTCGCCGTCCAAGGTATTCGTAACATTCGTCTCAGAAACCCCATCTCTGTTGCTTCCAAATTCTTCTTAATTTGTTCAGTGACATTCCAAGATTTTCTGCCATACAGCAGAACGGGTTCTATGTAACATTTTAGCACCCTCTTTTTGACATTAAATGAGAGCGATTTATTACATTATATATATATACATAGAGAAATATCTGTTCCTGAATTTAATTTTCTGACATTGATCTTATCAAAGGTTGGAGTCATAGCAAAACTTAAGGGATCGGAGAGAGTTTGGCAGGAGAAGTCCCTAGGCTCGGTAACCTTTGACACCAGAAACGTGAACTGCCTTAAGTTCAGTCTGTATGAATGCACGGGTTGGGCATTCTTTGGATCCAAGACCTTGGTGGCAGAGACAGGCTTTGATTTTCTCAGCGTCATTGAGACTCTCCCCATTGGGCAGTCCTCTGTGCAGGAGTTGAGCACACCCAGGGATTCGAACTTACAGGTGTGTGTTTAGTTTGTTTTAGGGTTTATATATTTTGTTCTAACTTTGCCTTGATTTAAAATAAGGGTGTATCAGTATCTTTGTTGTTATCACTATCATCAGCGCAGTATTATCATCATCTTCACCATTAAAATTATCGCCAATATTCTATCAACAGCACTATCGTCATCATGATCACCATTATCGTTATCCACTTAACATAACTATCCAATTTATGACTTTCATGATTCACTTTATTAACATTATCTTTAGAACAGATACTCAGTAATTTTCTCTTTTGCAATCATTACCCTGTCAGCGTCTTCATCTGATCTGATTTCTGGTCAAATTATGTTCCAGTTTTCCACCTATTCCATTATTCTCAGTTTAGCTCTCATATCCGCCAATGTCTTTAAATTGATGTTAATGAATGAGTGAATCAAGAGTTGACTACAGTGTGCTCTGAACCCTACCAGACCTGAGACCCTGAACCTAACTGTCCACTATACCTGAGCTCCTAGGCATAAATGCAAAAAACCAACATGATATACACAAATATTAGTTGCATGGAAACAAGTGGTTAGAAAAAGATGGAACTTGGAGAAATTGTAGAAGATAGGTTTACCTTTCATCTAGCGATCCACCCAACAGGAAAAGCCTTGTTTCACAAAGTGAGCAACAGATGTTGCTCTTTGAAGGACATGCCCCCTTCTCTCACTATCGATCTAGTTCTGGATCTGGAAGGTTCAAGGTTCTCCTCATCAGTTGAGCTCTCACTGTCTGTGTGACTTGAACTGGGAACATATTCTTGATGAAATTCTGACTCCTCAGAGTCTGGATCAACATAAGTATCGATCATCTGTTGGACTGTGAAAAGCCTAAAGCTACTTCGCTTTCCTGTCAAAGTGCTTGGTTCATCAGCCGCTTCATTGTGAATTTTCAGAATTGTTTTACGTTAAACAACACAAAGTAAATCCACACACATTGGGGGCAGCCATTTGCAGTGACTAACAATGAGGTTTGGCCATGATTGGTTTGCTACTTTTAGTTTGTGACGCATTTTTCACGTAGTACACAAAGTACTGAGAATTAGGTACAGCGGTTAAGCAGCAGATTAGGAAATTCCAGTAAAAGCGGTACAGCGGTCTGGTAGAGTTCTTAATCAGTAGCCGGGGAAGACTTCCCATTCTCCTGGTCATTAACCATTATTGGAGGTTCCAGCATCATTGCAGACATTATACAAAAAGTCCTTCATTGCCCCAATTGAAAAACTGGTCAAAAACGTGTCAGTCCCGTAAAATCTAAGCTTGCACACACAAAGTAAAAATACATAAGGCAGAAGTCAGATGTGCCAACACTAATGATCACACACGCCATGACTTCTTCATATCATCCTCTTGTGTCGTTATGCATCACATAGGGCTCGTACTTTATTCTTTCACTCCATGATGACTTAGTGATCCACATATTTCTTTGGCGCACAGGTTGACTTCAAGGTTAACATAAGCTCAGTCAAAAAGGGCCCAATTCTGTTGTTCTTGAAGGCAGGACAGTATGAGCGGGCAATCATGCCAGAGAATCTGGAGAAGTTGTGGGGACCAATCCCACTATCACGGCTGCCTCCTGGCACAGACAATTGGTGTGAGGTAGCATCTCACAAGTAGGTAGTTGCTTTTGCTTTTTAGTAATTATCTTTTTTTCTTTAAAGTTTGGCTGTTTGTTGTTGTTGTTGTTTTTTTTTTTTTTTTTTTATGTTTAAAAAAAAAAAAATAATAACTGTAGTCCCTTAGTTTTATATACTGTGATTTACATACCATTTTATAGCATAAGATAACACTTGTCTGGAAAGCGGGCAGAAAGGTGCCAACAAGTCACCACCGATTCCCCTAGCACAGAGGTTCTCAGTGAACCAAGTCTTGCTGACGTCTATTTTCTAATGTTAGCATAAGATAACACTTGTCTGGAAAGCGGGCAGAAAGGTGCCAACAAGTCACCACCGATTCCCCTAGCACAGAGGTTCTCAGTGAACCAAGTCTTGCTGACGTCTATTTTCTAATGTCTCCACAGACTCTGTGCTGTTTGACAGTCTGTAACATACTGAAAAAATATAGTTTGATTTATAAATATTTTCACTGCAAAAAGAATTAATTGCATTCTAAGTGAGCGGCTGGCCGAAAGTTAAGCGCTGAGCTTCCAAGCGGAAGACCCAGGTTTGAATCCTCAGTAAGGCTGAGGATTTTTTTCCTCACCTGCACAGTCATAGCAATAGCATTAGCCATGCGGCCTTAAATCCTCAGGCTAAAAGACCCCCCTGCCTACACCGCAAAAGTGGTAAAATAAAGGCATTTGTTTCTTTGGTATTCTAAGTTGAGAGGTTAGGTAATTCTGGCACACTCTCTCTTTCTGGATGATAGTGTACCATTTTATGTTGAATTAAGAATCAATATCGCAGCACTTGGGGCACCCCCAAAAGGGCCCCGTCTCTATCTTCAGCAGCAAGTGAAGAGTTCCAAGTCCGATGGTACCAGTAACTGTCAGATTGTTTTTCTGTCTCGCCTTCCCCCTGAGTGTCAAGTGTCGCCAGATCCCCTTGTTACTCCTCCCAGCGCCATTCTCCTCAGACCGTAACGATCTGTCTATACCTGTGCACTCTTCACTCGCTCCTAAAAGGCTCTCACAACATCCGCCTTGTCATACATCAGTTTGCAACTATGTGGTACAGAACCAGCCTGTCTTTCATTTTGCCATAGGGAAAGCATTTGAATCACAGCCAATTACTGGATATAAAGTTCCTTCTCTTGATAGCACAAAGTCTGGCCTGTTTGGTAGAAACCATGTATTGTCCTAGCAGAAGGATCCCTCTCTCTGCCTGCTGTGTTAACCCTACCAGACCTAAGGTCCTGAACCTAACTGTCCCTATAACCTGAGCTCCTGGGCATTACCACGAAAAAACCAACATGATATACACAAATATTAGTTACATGCAAACGAGTGGCTAGAATATGATGAAACTTAGAGATGTTGTAGAAAATAGGCTTACCTTTTATCTAGCGCCAACATTCCACCTTTGTGTGCGAATTCACTCATCAGGATCAACTTTGTTTCACAAAGTGAACACCAGATGTTGCCGTTTGATGGACACACCCCCTCCTCCTACTATCGATCTATTTCAAGATTGATAATTTTCAACACACAAAATTGGTTCACACACACGGGGAAGCCATTTGCAATGTCTAACAAAGCAGACTGACGACGATTGGTTGGTTTTTTTTAGTCAGTGACGCATCTTTCTCACGCACTGTGCAAATAGCCGAAAATTAGGGCCAGCGGTATGGAGAACAGTTATGAAATTCCCGGAAAACCGGGCCGGCGGTCTGGTAGGGTTAACTCCAAGGGAAATCTAACATCAATACTTTCTAAGTAAAGCATGCTGTAGAAGCTGCCAGATCAGAAGAGCGGTGCTGTGTCAGTATGTCTGCCTGTCAGAGCGTTTTTTATGGACCTGCTGCAGCCAAGGCTAAGGGTCTTGGCTACCCTGCTATAACATTAAGTTACCGTTAATTTCCTTATCCAAGATTAAGGCTAGTGTCCTCCCCAGTGTGTTCCTCTGCCTTTTAATTCTTAATCATTGGTTTCATTTGTGTAATCGTCTTAATTTTTTCTTGTTTTCATTTTTATGTTAGTTGGATAATGACAGTAATCTTTCTTTAAAATATTATGATAGCCCATATAGCCAGATGTTTTTTTTTTCAGAGTTGACCTTGGAACCTAGCCTAAAATGGGTACCAGGTAAAGTTCTGAGAAGTAAAGGTAGCTGGCGTAATGTTGATTGTATCACTCACCAAGTGCCGATTGTCTATTGTATATAAGTCTAGCACTATGTGGCCAGTACGCCTTAGGTAGTGGAAGAAAGACCTGAAGTTTTTTTTTTTTTTTAAACTTTGTCCTAACTCTTACATATGCTTAATACACCTCCTTGTGTGAAAACAAGTCTGTTGAGCTTCACTTTCTGTCCATAGAGTCCTCAACCACAGAGGTACAGCATTATTTACATGTCGACTCATTCACTCCCTACCGCTGATGCAGTCAGCAGTGCATGTGTTCTGCCAGGACAAAATGGTGGCTGTTGGTCACTTAATTGGCACTGACCAGCTGCCCATCCCTACACAGGTGAGTGTTAACTCTTTCGCTACCAAGCAGTTTATCATGTGTTTATTGTTGTCTAGTGATAACATCTCTGCAGGATGCTCAAATCAATCAGCAATGTAGGGTAGAACTCAAAAACAGATTCAGCATTTTACAAAAAGACTAAGCAATGGTAATCAACACATTTCATGAAGGTCAGATTAGCAGTGGAGAAAATATTAGGCGGTCACACACACAAAATGAGGAGTGGATTTCCAAATGGGGGAAATCTTTTACGCACAAACAAAAATTAAAAAACAAATGTTAAAAGATAATCGCTCAAGTTGAAAAAAACTTTCCACAGGATATTCACAAAAGAATATTGAGGTTGAAGCAGAAGCAAAAACAGATAAAGTTTCCTATATAGAAAAATTAGCAATAGAAGCAGTGAAGGAGTGGGACATCAAAATGTTGTATAATATAACCAGTAAACTTAAAGAAAATGTGTATCTCTCCAAAATGTGCCTCGGAAATTAAAGAATGAAAAGATGTTTAAAGCAGAGACGGGACAATTGGAAAGGTCGAGAGAAGATCGAGAGAAGACTTCCAGGGATTTTCTAAACTGTCCAGACCCACATGTATTTGCTGGTATACCTGAGGCTGAGGATAAGCATACAGCTATTCTCAAGAGGCACAGCTTAGGCAGACTATTAAAGCTCAAAAAGTTAACCAAGCACCTGTCAGTAATAGGATTTGCCCAGAAATGTTGTTTGTGGAAGAGACAGAAACACCAGAATTGCAGTGCAAGGATTTTCAAGATGTCTGGAAAAGGAGCAAATTTCACAGGGGTTGGTACCATTGTCAAACTACCCAGGAAAAGAGATTTGGGAAACTGTAATAACTGGGTAGGTATCACATTACTATCAGTAACAAGTAAAGTATTCAGCAGAATTATTCATAAGAGAATAGCTCAATCACTTGATAGTTCCCCATGTGGGTTCCGGGGCCCTATTTGGGGGGGGGGGGGGCAAAAAGAATAGACCCACTGCCTACTCAAAAGCATGTCGTAAGAGTTGACTAATTGGCAGCTTCCTTCGAAGTCGGAGTGCATCTGCCTGACAGGCAAGAAACCAGCAGTCTGCATACAAATGAGTCAGATCTGTAAAACGGATGCACACGCAACACTCAGGTTCTGGAACAGGACTGCAGTCCAAAAGCGGACGAACAACCATAACTTTCCGCTAGAGTTTACAGCTGGTGAAAACGAAGAAGAAGAAGAAGACCTGATAGTAAAAGTGGGCAAGAGCAAGCAGGTGTTACTGATTATTGATTTAAGAATCGACGTCATAACACACGGGGCATACCCATAGATGCTCTGCCTCCAGCAGCAAATGTCTTAGAGTGTAGATGCTAAAGGTTCAAGTAGCACACTGATGATACACGTGTCATTCTCTTCCTCTCATCGGTCCCTTCTTGCCTGACCCACACCTAATTCCTCGTTCGCACGATCTTACACACATTATTTTATCTAACCTTGGGTCTTCTGTCAACAGTTTTTCATAAATGGTCTTCAGGATGTATCTTTGACCTGTACGAGCGTTCCTGTAGCTATTGCTTTTGTAGCCAGAAAATCTGCTCTTTCATTGCCTCGCACTCCTGCATATCCACCTAATTTCCTGTAGTGTTGGCATACTAGTGCTTGGTATCCACTCATGCTTAATTTGTCCATTTTGAACCTTCCACAGTACTGACTGAGAATCACTCACAGTAATTCCTCTTGTAACTTTATTTTCTTCTGTCCACATCAGAGCTGCAGTGATTACCTCCACCTCCATCCTCATGCTTAAAGTTGTAGATTTAAAAAAAAGAAGGGAATTATGCTTTGACCATATTTTCACACTGTGTCATATAATTGAACAGTACATGAAATATTACAGTTTATGTGATATTCTGAGATTCTGAAAAGGCTTTTTCATAGCCTGCATAGGGAATCATGATGAAAGATTTTCCCTCTTTGTAGCATACCATTGAAAATAGTAAATAAATTGAAGCAGTTAACATAGAATTTTAATGCAGGATAGTCTGTGATGATAATACAATAAAAAATTAGTCTTTTCAACTGACAATTGTGTAATAGTGTTCGATATGGCATGATTTAAAAAAAAAATTGTTCTGTAGTTTTTGAAAACAGTGCTATAGAAGTTAAACTGTAGAAAAGATTGGGGTCGCAACATTTAATATTTCCTAGGATTGCAGTAATGTAAATATCCAGTCCATTGTGGAGACATTTCAGTTTTTGAAAGATAATGTTACTGGGTTTTTTTTTCTTTCTAATTAGGTTTCAAAGAGGGCAGCTGCGGTAACCTTGAACCCTAGAGCAGGTGAAAGGGCAGTTCTTATAAAGAACCACAAGGGAGATTGGGCGATTGTTGTTGGTCGTTGGACTGGCTATAGGAAAGGAGTACCAGGTGTTGCAGGTGGGCCCTTGTCTGTCAACAGAAGTTCATATTAGATTTATTTTTATCTCTGTGGGTCCTGGGGCCCCATTTTGCAGGGAAAAATGATAGACCCACTGCCCCCCCCCCTCCCCCCGCCCTTACAAATATATTGTAAAAGGTAATGAATTAGGGGTGTTTTCTTCAAAGTCAGAGTACATCTGCCTGATGGGGGAGAAACCAACAGTCTGCATACAAAAAAGCCATATCTGTGAAATGGATATGCATGCAGAGCCTAAGTTCTGGAACAAGACTTAAGTCCAGAAGTGGATGAACATTCAGAACTTTCCACTGGAGTTTACAGCCAGTGAATGAATACACAGAAGATCCAAATTTCTTTTTAGACTTATTTTGCTTTTAGCCACAAATTGATACTAATTGTTCTGCCTTTGTTTATTTATAGTTATGTAAAGAAATTGACTATTCTTAGTTTTTGTTTGTTCGGTTTTAGTTGTGTAAAGACCCTAGTGGTTTGTCTTTAGCTAAAGCCCTTAGCATTGATTGGCACCTGGTCTTATTGGAAAGCTGAAACAGGCAAACACTGCTCTTGTGATCGCTTCTGCAGCATGCCTAATTCCAGACATATTGATGTTACCTTTCCTGTGGAATCAACAAGACAGGCCAAGAAGAAGATCATAATTCATGTGTAATGTGTGGTCTATACAAAACCGCCCAGGCTTTATGCTATAGAAATGAGGAACGTCATCCCTGGCTTTCAGTGGTCTAGGAAGACTTTTCTGAATGCGAGGATGTCTTGCTAATTAGACTCTCTTTTACCGGGAAGGCTAACCCTGTCAAAAAATGCCCGCAGAAGTCGGATGTGTTGGCCGAAAGGTGCAAATATCGCAGCCATGCTGTAAACAGACACAACGCAATTATATTTTCAGATGAACACAGAAGAAGAAGACTCTCTTTTGTCATGGGCTGGGATTCCAATGACCCCCCCCCCCCCCCCCCCTCTCTCTCTCTCCTTTTTCTCCCCTTATTCGCAGTATAGCACTGTTATCTGGAAAAGTGAAACATATTGTTTGTCCTTATTATAGTTCTAGTTTCATAATTATTATTATTTTTTTTTGGGGGGGGGGGGGGGGGGGGGGGGGGGGTCTTTTTCTGATTTTATTTATATAATGAAACAAGTTCCCTTTTGTGTGTGTTTATGTATGTATGTTTAGTTGTATAAAATTTAACTTGAGCATGTTTACTGAAAGTGTTTTTTAACCAGTAACTGTAGATATGAATTCAGTATAGAATTATCCCTGTGACGGTTCTAGGACCACATTTGGGGGGGGGGGGGGGAGAACAGACAAACCGTGGCCTGACAAGCGTATACTAAAAGGCAACTAGCGAGAGGGTTGTGCTGAAATTAGATGCGCTGGGCCAAAAGGCAAAAATAATTCTATGTTTGGCCATTTGATTACTTTTATAAATATACAATACATTTTCAGGTAAAAGAGGTTCAAGAGGCAAGCGTGGTGTGCCTGGCAGTCCAGGAACTCTTCACTTAAAAATCTGGCGGATGGAAACTGGTTACATGCAAGAACTGATCCTGTCTTATGATCAGAAAATTTATAGCATGATTCTATCGGGAGCAGTTGTGGACCTTAAGGCTGGATACGTTTTGGTATGTTTTGCTCTTTACAGTTACATTTTATTATCTGCCTTTTTATAAGACTAAGAATACATGATTCAAGATCACAACAACTCGGTCTAACAATCCATAAGGTAAAAACGAAGATAATGAGAATAAATCAGGCAAATAGCCATGTGGTTTCTCTAAATAGTATCCAGCTCCAAGATGTGGTCATATACCTTATTTAGGCAGAAATGTGGATACAGAGAAGGAAAGTGATCAAGAAAGTCAATTCCAAACACAAAAGGCAAGAGAAGCTTTCATAGCACTAGGAAATTTGTGGAGGTCAAAATAAATTAAAACTAACACTAAACTTAAGATTGTTAATTCTAATGTCAAGCCAGTACTGTTGTTTAGAATCACTAATGTTGAGCTTTGAGTGAGAACTAAACAAGTTTAGTGGACCAAGAGGTGAAGAAAAGATGCTTGACACACGTTGAGAAAACCTGAGAACAATACAACTTTAATGTCTTTGTACTGGAACCCACGGGGGCATAGAAATAAAGGCAGACCAAAAAAATTCATGGAGAAAGAAGCTAGAGAGTGAAGTTAAAAAAAGATGAGGAGGACATGGGGTCAGCTGCATGCAATAACGAAGCTTAAAACAACTTGGTGTAAGTTGGTTGAGGGCTTATGCTCCATTGGGGGATAGAAGGAGAAGAGTAGAACTGGTCAGTTTTACTTAGAATATTGTTAGCAAGCGTCTATAAAACTCTCGTCAAAAATATTAAACTGTTGAAACCACATCTAAGATCAGTTTTTAACCACTACCTGTTTCTGAAGTTTGTAATAAGTTGGCTCTTAATAAATATCCAGATGTCAAAAGTTTACATCCTCATCAAAAAGAAAGGAAGAATTTGTAAATTAACCTGAGCCTGCTTTAAAGGTCCATTTTCCACCCTTTGGCATATAGTGCTAAACCTATATATTTTATACCAGCTTGCAGTCAGTTGTTGATATCACAAATTGGTTTTACACTGTGTTCATGAAATACAGGACAGATACCACCTCCCAGAAAGACGTCAAGGCATTCAGAATGTTGCAAAGAATCTACCACCACATGCTCACTTTAAAGCTCCAGAAGTCCTAATGAAATTGGTAGGCGAGGAAACCAAACAGTTCGAACCAATGGCTCTTATAAACTCATCGCTAAAGACCATTGATTCTTAGCCCCAAGAATGGATACATGTTTATACTGATGGATCTGCATTTAAAGCTACCATTAACGCAGGTTATGGAGTCTATGTAGGTTATCCCGATTGACCTGTTAAAGAGCTTTTTGGTGCATGTGGGGAATTCTGCTCAAATTATGAAGCTAAAATAATTGCACCGGAAACAGCAGTATACCACCTAAAGACTGCAATGGGTGTTTACCCTTGAAAGGCCCAAAATATTGTCATCTTCACAGATTCAATGTCTGCCCTTCAAGCTCTGGAGGGCAGTGAACGCTGCAGAGCTGACATAGCCAAGATAATCCTGGATGCTGATCAGCTTATTACCTCATACAACATCAGAATAGTGATGCAGTGGATTCCAGGCCACTCTGGCACACCAGGAAATTACAGAGCTGACAGATTGACAAAGAAAGGAGCAACACAAGAACAACCACCTACAGCGACAACCATACGGACAGCAAAAACACTTATAAGAGCTACAAACAAAGAGACTTGTTGAACAGATAGGCCATGGGAGACACTGGAAGAGAAGTTTATAGACACATGGCTGGCCCTGATCCTAATGACAGCATTAACCATCTAACAAGAAGGGACCAGGCCACCATCTTCAGACTTAGAACACAACATACTCCACTCAGTGGACATCTCAACAGAATACAGCCACAACACTCCCCAGAGTGCCGGCTGTGTAACTACTCCTATGAAACTGTTGAACACCATCTCTTTGAGTGCCCAAAACTCAGCGAGACTGGAAGAAAGCTACTCCCTCCGAGACCAGACAAGTGGAACACCTTGTACGGAGGAGAAGAACAGCTTGTGAAAACATGCAAATTCCACTACATGGCATTAGGCCAAAGGGCGAAAGCTCATGCGCCGCTGGATCGATAACAACAACAATACCAGCTCACAGTCAGTTGTGTGATATTTTTGCATTGCACATGTTACATTTACTTCCCAGGACATCATAACCTGGTACCAGTTTTAGATTAGGCCGAGTCAACCTTGCGGTGAGGATGAATGTTTGAAAAAGAAATCTTCCATGATGCGGATTTGAACCCTTGATCTTGGGGCTGGTAATCAATCATCCAGCCACTACTGAATGCACTGTAAAATCCAACATGTACAAAACTAATAAGCCCTGCAAATATTTGAATTCACAGTAAGAACTCTCCTGATTGTATTAACTATCATATGTAATACTGGGGGGGGGGTGGAAGGGGGAGGGGGAATAGATGCACTGCTGCCTAGTAAGCATAATGTATAAAGCGACGAATTAGAAGTTAGATGATGGCAGAAAAGTGCAAATATTGCAGTTTAGCACTAAACCACAAAACAGTATGTCAACTGCCTTTTTAAGGAAGAACACAGAAGAAAAAAAGATGTAATCAAAGAAAGAATAAAAAATGAAAGAATTAGTATATATTGCTTCTTCTCTTCCTGCAATTGGTTACGTTAGTGACGTATTGATAGTAAACTGATAGTAAACAGCTGCAAGACCACATAAACCTACTACACGACAGTTGCCTCAAGCATCATATGAAGATCAATACTGAAAAGACAGAAGTCATGAGCATAAGTAGAGAGCAACAGACCATCGACATAAAGATTCTAGATCACAGCCTAAAACAAGTGCAAGAATTTAAATACTTGGGAAGTATCTTTACATTCAATGGTAAAATAGACAGAGAGATCGAAGCAAGAATCCAACAAGCCAACAATGTCGCATACCAGCTTGCCCCAATTTTAAAACACCCTGCTGTCCCAGCTGAGATAAAAAGACAAATTATAAATACAATCTTTATACCGACATTAGGTTATCAATGTCAGACTTGGACATTAACAAAAGAACACGAGAGAAGTCTAACCACCTGTGAAATGAGATGTTTGAGAATGGCTGCGAATAAAACCAGAAGAGATCGAGTGAGAAACGATGTGATTACAAGAACTATTGGAACCATACCCATCGTTAAATTTATTGAGAAGCAAAGAATGAAATGGTTTGGTCACCTAATGAGAATGGAGCCAACGATGCCAGCATCAAGAGCATACAACATGAAAATCGAAACACCAAGAGGCAGGGGAAGACCAAGAAGAATATGGATTGAAGGAGTCACTGACAACTTGAGACTTCATAACATCACGGCATATGAAGCGACTGAGCGCACCCTGGCTCGGTTGCCAATCATCTGATAGACTGCGACGCCTAGCGGCACAAGCAGATTTTGACAAATGAAAAGAAGTGACGTATTGGGGAAGAGATTAAGGACCCTTTTTTAAACCCTTTCAACAATGCGACATACGAAAAACAATGCCAGAGACTTTATATTTGGAATTTCGGATTTTCTTGAAAAAAGTCCTTTAAAAAAGTTTTACACAGATTTAACCCCCCCCCCCCCCCCCCACCCCCCCCCCCCCCCCCCTTCCTCCCCCCCCCGCCCCCCCCCCCCCCCCTTCCCCCTTCCCAATCTCAACAATTCCACATATAGACCAAAATAATATTTTGCGTGCAAAATAGTGGTAATAATTGACAAACCCGAATGGGGTAGAGAATTGACTGACTTACATCTCTTTGAGCTTTCAAAAATGTGTAGGTTGACCCAGACACCAGTTAACACTGTAACTAACAGGAAATTCTGATGCCTCAGGTTTTGAGCTTCTTGGGCTTCGTGGGATGAGTGTACAGTTTAAACTAATCTTCAGTTTTGTTAGGTTGTTCCTGATGTCCAGGGTGCTTAGGGAAGAAAGAGGAGGCTGGGTATCTCTTGCTCTGTTGTCATGTGATTTCTGCGACTTCCGTTTTCAAAATGACAGTTAGCAGCATTGTCATTTTTCAATTGTTGGGATTTCTCTTGGATTGTTCTGTTCCCCAACCATGGACTGCTATTTTGATGCTCATTTCTAACGCAGGTTATTATGCGTTTTTCGTGGGAGCAGCGTGTATTGTGGCTATGCTGTATCGGGGTAGGATAATGACTGATAGATTCGGCAGCCTTGACCACGCTTTTTTGCAGTGTTTTGATCGTGGTGGCCCACTGTCCAGAAAGACAGAATCTTGCCAGCAGAAGACTGTAACTGTCTAGAAAGCAAACTTGATAAAAGCTGCCCCAGAAATGGAATGTGTCAGCCATTTTTTTGTTTGGTGAGGGGGGGGGGGGGGGGATCGATACATACTGTTAACTCAGTGACCTTGGCCATTAAATTTCTTTTGTGTGGCCTTCTGTGGGTTTTGGTACCAGAACAGTCTTATCAGATGGTTTAACCATTTTATCTTGTTTTTAAAATTAATTATGGGAAACTTAGTTCACACATATCTCCTAATTACTTCTTGAGCATGAGTGTATAGATATTTAATTTAAATCTTCTATCAGTTTGCTGGACCTGTTAAATGTTGAATTGAGAATCGACATCACAGCACTCGGGGCACTTCCATAAGTGCTCCATCTCCCATCTTCAGCAGCAAGCGAAGAGTTTCTAATTCTGATGGCACCAGTAACCCTCTGAATGTATATAGTTTGCTGGACCTTAGAAGATTCATTATCTTCGAGGCACACTTCTCCTTTTGGCTACTTATTTCACACTAATTATGTTTAGATTAATAAACAAGTCATAGCATGTGTGTAGTCATCATCATCATCATCATCAAGTGCCCTGCCAGGCGTTCAGGCATTTCCTCAGATCTTGGTCCTGAGTGTTGTGAATTATTTCCACTGATGATATTCCTCCAAGCCACTGTCTTAAGCCATCCACCATCATTTCTCTTTTTCCGCCTCTGCCTCTTCTACCAGGGATCTTTCCAGTCGTCACAATATTTTCCAGTGCTCCTGTTCTCATTGCATGAGCAATTAACTGGCAGTCCAAGGTATTCACAACATTCTTCTCGAGAACCACATCTCAGTTGCCTCCAAACTCTTCTTAATTTGTTTGCTCACTTTCTAAGATTCACTGCCATACAAGAGAACAGGCTTGATATAAAATTGTCTAATGTTTAATGGCCTGGCCATTTGTGCTCTTAATCTCTGTCACACATCATATGTGTGTAGTAAGGTGAATAAGTGATACAGAGTTACATTTTAATATTGTTTAATGATAAATGAAGCAGATATAATCATTATTTTGTTTTCGCAGATAGAGGATAACTGTGACGATGTTGCCGAGACTTTGGCCTTAGCTTTCAGCATTTCTCTGCTGCATGTTCTCTGCCAGCCCCGTCCCAAGGGATGGGAACCGTACAAGAGCACACAACCGGCAGTTGCTAGAGGCATGAGAAACGTAAGTTGTAGGAAATGAGATGAAGTGCTAGCATGTTGTAATACACAATTTGTTTGTTATTTAGCTTACTCAGTACCAGTTAGTCACTTTTGTCCGGTTGTTCTATTATCTGTCACATAGGGCTCACAGTCTGTTTCTTCAATCCATTCTATCCTGTCCAGTCCCTTAAATTGTATGGATGGAATCCAGTCCAGCAGTTTTAACCTCTCTCTTTAACTTCCGTTTTGCGGTTTCTTTCTGATATCCTTGTATCCTCAGTCCTTTTACAAGGCAGCTCACTATGCTTTTATTAGGTCTGTCTTGCACTATTTTCTTTAAAAACTTGTAGTTCCTTTGTCAACAATAATATTAATTGATTATATCCTTGTTGTAACGTCAGTTGTTTTTTTTGTGTGTGTGTCCCACAATAATAGTCTTTGAAATGTTTTATGGGCAGAATATAATTAAATTAGGCAGTAAATCATTGAGTTAGAATTATAGAAACACTTGCTTGGTACTAAAGTGGTAGAGGTTAATGGGTTGCTGGATGTTGTACCGAAACTGCTGTGCTAGTTGTTGTATCGAACCTGCTGTGCAGAATGTTGTGTCAAACCTGTTGTGCTAGATGTTGTATTGAACCTGTTGTGCTAGAATTTGTAATGAACCTATTGTGCTAGATGTTGTATCGAACCTGTTGTGCTAGATGTTGTACCGGAATGCTGTGCTGGTTGTTGTATCAAACTTGTTGTGCTAGATGTTGTACCGAAACTGCTGTGCTAGTTGTAGTATCGAACCTGTTGTGCTAGATGTTGTTCCGAAACTGCTGTGCTAGTTGTTGTATCGAACCTGTTGTGCAGTATGTTGTGTCCAAACTGTTGTGCTAGATGTTGTATTGTACCTGCTGTGCTAGATTTTTGTATTAAACCTGTTGTGCTAGAATTTGTATTGAACCTGTTGTGCTAGATTTTGTATAAAACCTGTTGTGCTAGATTTGATATAAAACCTGTTGTGCTAGATGTTGTATCGAACCTGTTGTGCTAGATGTTAAATCAAACCTGTTGTGCTAGATTTTGTTTCAAACATGTTGTACCAGATGTTGTATCGAACCTGTTGTGCTTGATTGGGTTTCAAACCTGTTGTGCTAGAATTTGTATTGAACTTGTTATGCTAGATTTTGAATCAAACCTGTTGTGCTAGATGTTGTATCTAACCTGTTGTGCTAGATGTTGTATCGAACCTATTGTACTAAATATTGTATCAAACCTGTTGTGCTGTATGTTGTATCGCACCTGTTGTGCTTGGTGTTATATCAAACCTGTTTTGCTGGATGTTGTATTTCACCTGTTGTGCTAGATATTGTATCGAACCTGTTGTGCTAGATGTTGTAATAGACCTGTTATACTTTATGATCATGAATCTTGGAATAGGAAGCTGTTTTTACTGCCTGTATTTAACACTTTAGGGTAGTATAGGGCGGGGGTCATTAGCCTGATGAGTCAAGGCCGCATGGCTCGTGCGGTCACAACAAACTGTGCAGGTTATCCTCATTGCACATCGAACGATTCAGTCCATAAAAGCTCTGATCTCCTTCTCAGTAAATCCTGCAGCCTGTAGTAGCTGATGACGCCAGTTCTGTGTTGGCTTCTTTTTCTTCTTTGGCTTCCTGCATTGGGCTCTTGTCTGACCTCGACCCTTTCAACTTGCTTTTCTTGCAGACTGGTCATGGTTGCAGATTCACAGTCACTTGGTTCTCATAAAAGTCTTAATTCTCGTAGAGCATTCAGTATATCATCCTGGTCCATGGTTCATCTGCCATTTACAGTAGCTTTACCTGCGAGCCTATCTTCTTGCTCATGTCCTTAAACGCCTGCATGTCCTTGCACGAAAATGTGCCTGACTGTCTCAGAGACACCAGCTACTGTCTTCAGACCTAGGCCATCTCTATCTTCCTGAGCATACTCATAGAGTCACTGATCATGCGTAGGTGAAAGTTTCCAGCCATGTTTTGATATAATTCAGTTGCTCCTGGAGGACCCTTACGACATCTAGCTTGTCATACCACCTCCACATGGTACAGAACCAGCCAGACTGCCTTCCTGTTTGTTTCCCAACACACCACCTGAAGAAAATATGTATTCATATCTGTGCTAGAGTCACAGAAAACTGTCCACAAAATGAAGAACCTTTAGTAGAAGATGGAAGTATCAATTGACACGCTGTGTTAAAAGTATTGTTTGCTTTCTGGCTTACGCAAAATTCCCTAAAGAGTAAAAATTCTGATTGGTCCTTTTTTTCATCTGTTGCATTTCTCCTTTGGTGTAATCTCCATCCACACGCTGAGGGAGATACTAAAGATGGGATGCAAGCCCAAATGGACTTGTCCGATGTGCGATAAGGATGAACGGTTGATTATCTATCTATTTATCATTTCAGTTGCAAAATGTGTATAGTTTCTTTTTCACTGCTTTGGCTCCTTTCACAATAGGTATAACGCAAGACACATTTATGAATAAAGTTCTGCTGTGATTGGAAATGCTATAATTGTGAAGAATGTAAACAAATGGAGGAGAGAAATGGACCTAATATTACAGTATAGGCCTGCTAGCATGTAGCTGTAACAAAAGTTGAAATAGCAAGGACCCCCCAGCTACTGAAGAGTGCTAGAACCAAGTGGAGAAAACTCTGTAACAAACACCACAGTATCTATCTTGTGCCCTTTATATACAGGCTGTAGGAACTCAAGGACAGATATATCCGTCATATCCACTGGCTTGAGAATCAGCTTTACACACATGTTGTGTCTCACAGAACATGTTGATAAAGGTGGAAACAGGTATGCTAGGTGCAGAGGTGCAAGCATCACTTCAGAGGTCCCGGGTAGTTAGCATCCTTTGGATATTCTCTCCAGGTCATGCTGGTGTATTAGGAAATGAGCAGGCAGATAGACTGGCCGGTTCTTCACCACTTGGTGTTGAACTGATGTATGACAAGCTAGATGTTATGCAGGCCCTCTGGGAGCGAGCAAACAGTGCGGAAGCGCAAATAGATCATTACGGTCTTCGGAGAATGGCGCTGCGGGGAGTTGCCAGGGGATCTGGCTGATGTTGAACACTCAAGGAAAAGGCGAGATGGATGTACAATCAGACAGTTTCTGGTGCCATCAGAATCGGAACTCTTCGTTTGCTGCTGAAGATGTGGACGGAATGCTTATGGGAGTGTTCTGAGTGCTATGATGTTGATTCTTAATTCAACATTCAACATCCACTGATATGGTAGTCATACAGGTTGGATAGATCCATCATACCCACAAAAGGTTAATGATGTAACATAATTCATGTATAAATGTTTTGATATTTCTGTTGTTCACCATTCACTCATCTTGTTGCCTGTTTGTCTTTTTCCTCTATAGGTTACTGCGATTCCATCTGAGGACCTCGCCTTTGTTATGGCTGCAGGTTTTCTCATGTCAACCCCATCCAACCACTATGTGAGGGAGCGGTACGGCGAACATGCTTGTGCAGGCTGTGGAGGCGGAGGTGGTGAAGTTGAAATCAATGACTTTGCAGACATCGACTGCGGCAGTATCGGTGGGGCCGATAATGGAATCGGAGACGATGGAGCTATGGGCGGTGGAGAGGATGGCGCTGGATGTGGTGGTTGTGGCGGATGTGGAGGCTGTGGTGGAGGAGCTGGCTGTGGTGGTGGAGATGGAGGTGGTGGTGGAGCTGGGTGTGGTGGAGGCGGGTGTGGGGGCTGTGGAGGGTGCGGGGGTTAACTGGATCAGGAGCTAACCTACCAGTATGGCCTTGTATGTCTATTACTATGACTTTTAAAGACAGACCTTATAAATGTGTCTATTAATAATATGTAAGTATATATTTCTTTGGGAACTTGAATTCTGCATCAGTTCTGGATACCTATGTGCTGGTATATATGTCACATATAAATATGTCTTTACTAGTTTATGTGTCATATATACATACATTTGTATTGATATATATGTCATTAGATATGTCTGCATTAGTATTTACGTCCCATGTAGATATGTCTCTATTGGTGTATCTGTCACATACACACACAGCTTATATGTGTGTATTTGTAATTGTGTTCATGTCTCGCGTTAAATTCTAATTTAATACTTTATGAAATATCAAATCATAACTTTAAACGAACGTTCTTAAAAGGTCAGCAGTTGTTATTAGTGCTGGGGGGGGGGGGGGGGGGGGGTTGTTTAAAAGATATTAAATCCATGAGTGTCCAGCCTTCACATCTCACAATAGAATATCAAGAAATATATTTCAAATACTTGGGCTCTTTAGTGAATAACAATGGAGGCTGCTTGAAAAAAGTCAGAAGCGTTGCATTAGCAATTTGGAGATTAAACAGCATGAAAACCCTATGGCAAAGCACTTGTAAATTACTAAAAGTAAAAATCTTGAGATCATGCATTTTTCCTGTGGCAGCTTACAGTTGTGAGTCTTGGACTCTCACTCAGTCACTGAGGAAAAAAAATTGGAGCTTTTGAAATAAAATGTTACAGAAAAATTATCAGATTACCATGGATCAAGAAGAGGAAAACATCCACAATCTACATGAGTTGAACATCAAGGAGAACTAGCTCATAAACAGTGTCCTGTCCCTAAAGGTGAAGTATTTTGGCCACATCGAACGTCATGGTGGCTTGGAAAAGTCGGCCATTGATGCTAGGGTAAAGTTTGTGGAAAGAGAAGAAGGGGCCAACCTCCGGGAAGATGGGTACAGAACATTGAAGATGCATTTGCACTGAAAGCACATGGGGCTGGAGAGCTGTCTAGGGAGAGGGATACTTTCAGGCTACAGTAAGGATAGCGGCGTTCTGATTGATGCTGATTGATGATATAGAATCCCTTGATAAATAATACCCCAGTATCATTTCTGTATTTTATTTTTTTTTTTACTTTTGATATGTAAACCTCTTGATTATGAAAGAACTTGTTTCTTACATTTGATCATTTTTTTTCATTCATGTATTATAAAAATGTTTCATCTCTTGCTCAGTTGAATTTGCAAATGTAAAAAGGTAATGAAAGTGTGCTTTTGCCAATATAATCTCTGTGCTATCCTTTTCTTGTGCAATCTCTCCAAATACGCACAATGTTTTTGGTTTCGTTTTGAGATGTGATGGTCAGGATGTTTCTTATTCTAGTATGCAGTGTTTTAAATTGCATTTGAGAAAATCTGAAGTTTCACTAACAGAATGCCTGATTTTAATACTTAAAATTAAAATTTTTTTTAAAAATTTGTAAAGGGAACACAAAATTAAAAGTCTATTATATTGTTTTGTGCACATTTTAAAACCACTGGTAATTTTTTTTTAATTCTTCTAAATCTATGAGCAGTCATTGCATTGTTTGCCCATCTCGTTACTTCTTGGAGACAATCTGAAGTTTCGCTAACAGAATGCCTGATTTTAAAACTTTAAATTAGAATTTAAAAAAAAATTTTATAAAGAGAACGCAAAATTGAAAGTCTGCTATATTGTTTTGTGCACATTTTAAAACCACTGGTAATTTTTTTTTTAATTCTTTTTAATCTGTGAGCAGTCATTGCATTGTTTGCCGATCTCATTACTTCTTGAAGACAATCTGAAGTTTTAATTACAGAATGCATGGTTTTAACACTTCAGATTAAAAACGAATCTCAAATTTTTTTTATTTATACACACCACAGGTGGGAGCTTATTGTTTGTTAAATTTTCATTTTAAAGTCACAAGTAAACATTTTCATTCTAATTATGCAAGTTACATTGGAGCAGTACTTTGATATAGCAGTTAATAGGTGCTCTTTGGAGAAGGGCAGATGTGGTATTTGCTGTCAGACCTTCAGATAGAGCATGGAGTGAAGAAAGTCAGTCAGTCATTATATATTGACTTTATTTTATCTTGTATTTTGTTTCAGATAGTTTTTGATGTACCATTATCTTGTGTTATGTGTATTGCATCTGCCCGGTTGTTAGCCTGTTATCAAACATATTCAAAATAATGTGTTCCTGTTATAAATTTAAACAATGCAGACAAACAATACATTACACAAGTTATTGCCTGGCATATTTCTCTGCATGTCAATCCCTCTGTGTGCAAACAAAAAGAGCATGTCAATTTATATACCTTTAGTGATCATATGGCTAATCATGAAGTTTAAGCACAGAGATTTCAATGTAGAGAGACACTGTGATTTGTGTACTTCAGTGGGAAAGGATTCATTTTGATGTAACTTTGTAGTAATGCATCTCACAAGATACATCAGAATATGCTTGACCATAAAATATGCAATGTATTCCTTGTGCCCACATTATTCAAATCCTTCATATTGTTATATGTCTCACACATCTAATGTTTTGCAACAACTGTCACACATCTAATGTTTTGTAACAGCTCTCACACATCTATTGTTTTTAACAACTCTCACACACCTAATGTTTTGTAACAACTCTCATACACCTAATGTTTTGCAACAACTATCACACATCTAATGTTTTGCAACAACTATCACACATCTAATGTTTTGTAACAACTATCACACGTCTAATGTTTTGTAACAACTATCACACATCTAATGTTTTGTAACAACTCTCACAAACCTAATGTTTTGTAACAACTATCACACATATAATGTTTTGTAACAACTATCACACATCTAATGGTTTGTAACAATTCTCGCACATCTTATTTTTTGTAGCAACTCTCATACATCTAATGTTTTGTAACAGCTCTTACACATTTAATGTTTTGTAATAACTATCACACATCTAATGTTTTGTTACAACTCTCACACATCTAATGTTTTGTTACACCTCTCACACATCTAATGTTTTGTAACAACTCTCACACACCTAATGTTTTGTAACAACTATCACACACCTAATGTTTTGTAACAACTCTCACACACCTAATGTTTAGCAACAACTATCACACATCTAATGTTTTGCAACAACTATCACACATCTAATGTTTTGCAACAACTATCACACATCTAATGTTTTGTAACAGCTCTCACACATTTAATGTTTTGTAACAACTCTCACACACCTAATGTTTTGTAACAACTATCACACACCTAATGTTTTGTAACAACTATCACACATCTAATGTTTAGCAACAACTATCACACATCTAATGTTTTGCAACAACTATCACACATCTAATGTTTAGCAACAACTATCACACATCTAATGTTTTGCAACAACTATCACACATCTAAGGTTTTGTAACAACTCTCACACATCTGATGTTTTGTAACAACTCTTACACATCAAATTTTTTGTAGCAACTCTCATACATCTGATGTTTTGTAACAACTCTCACACATCTAATGTTTTGTTACACCTCTCACACATCTAATGTTTTGTAACAACTCTCACACACCTAATGTTTTGTAACAACTATCACACACCTAATGTTTTGTTACACCTCTCACACATCTAATGTTTTGTAACAACTCTCACACACCTAATGTTTTGTAACAACTATCACACACCTAATTATTTGTAACAACTCTCACACACCTAATGTGTTGTAACAACCCTCACACATCTGATGTTTTGTAGCAACCATCACACATCTAATGTTATATAACAACTATCACACATCTAATATTTTGTATCAACTATGACGCATCTAATTTTTTTTAAACAACGATCACACATCTATTGTTACATAATAGCTATCACACATCTAATGTTTTGTAGCAACTGACACATATACTATGTTCTGTACGTACCTCTTAAATTCAAAGTTATACTCTCAGTCTTCCTTACCTTGTACCAATTTATACTTCTAAATACAAAATACCAGTAAAAATTTCATACTTTATCATTGTCATAGCTGCTACCTCCAGCTGTAAAATTTGTGCACATTATCTTTTGCGGTTTTTATCTAATTTTTCTTCTAATTTTACAGTCCAAATCTTTAAGATATCTCAAGAATACACAGTCATGATTGAATATCTTTAGAAGACAGTCCATGTTCTTAAGATATCTTTAAAAGATACTGTCCACTTTTTCAGAAATCTTTAGAAGACAGTCTATGTTTTTAAGATATCTTTAGAAGACAGTTACATTTTAGAAATATCTTTAGAAGACAGTTCACATTTTAGAAATATCTTTAGAAGACAGATACATTTTAGAAATATCTTTAGAAGACAGTTACATTTTAATAATATCTTTAGAAGACAGTTACATTTTAGAAATAACTTTAGAAGACAGTCCACATTTTAGAAATATCTTTAGAAGACAGTTACATTTTAATAATATCTTTAGAAGACAGTTACATTTTAGAAATATCTTTAGAAGACAGTTCACATTTTAGAAATATCTTTAGAAGACAGTTACATTTTAGAAATATCTTTAGAAGACAGTTACATTTTAGAAATATCTTTAGAAGACACTTCACATTTTAGAAATATCTTTAGAAGACAGTTACATTTTAGAAATATCTTTAGAAGACAGTTACATTTTAGAAATATCTTTAGAAGACAGTCACATTTCAGAAATATCTTTAGAAGACAGTCCACATTTTAGAAATATCTTTAGAAGACAGTTCACATTTTAGATATATCTTTAGAAGACAGTTACATTTTAGAAATATCTTTAGAAGACAGTTACATTTTATAAATATCTTTAGAAGACAGTCACATTTTAGAAATATCTTTAGAAGACAGTTACATTTTAGAAATATCTTTAGAAGACAGTTCACATTTTAGAAATATCTTTAGAAGACAGTTACATTTTAGAAATAT